ATGACCTCCCTACAACGCCTGGGCATGCTCCTGATGAGGTGGCGGATGGTCACCTGAGGGATCTCCTCCCAGACCTGGACTAAAGCATCCGCCAACTCCTGGACAGTCTGTGGTGCAACGTGGCGTTGGTGGATGGAGCGAGACATGATCTCCCAGATGTGCTCAATTGGATTCAGGTCTGGGGAACGGGCGGGCCAGTCCATAGCATCAATGCCTTCCTCTTGCAGGAACTGCTGACACACTCCAGCCACATGAGGTCTAGCATTGTCTTGCATTAGGAGGAACCCAGGGCCAACCGCACCAGCATATGGTCTCACAAGGGGTCTGAGGATCTCATCTCGGTACCTAATGGCAGTCAGGCTACCTCTGGCGAGCACATGGAGGGCTGTGCGGCCCCCCCAAAGAAATGCCACCCCACACCATGACTGACCCACCGCCAAACCGGTCATGCTGGAGGATGTTGCAGGCAGCAGAACGTTCTCCACGGCGTCTCCAGACTCTGTCATGTCTGTCACGTGCTCAGTGTGAACCTGCTTTCATCTGTGAAGAGCACAGGGCGCCAGTGGCGAATTTGCCAATCTTGGTGTTCTCTGGCAAATGCCAAACGTCCTGCACGGTGTTGGGCTGTAAGCACAACCCCACCTGTGGACGTCGGGCCCTCATACCACCCTCATGGAGTCTGTTTCTGACCGTTTGAGCAGACACATGCACATTTGTGGCCTGCTGGAGGTCATTTTGCAGGGCTCTGGCAGTGCTCCTCCTGCTCCTCCTTGCACAAAGGTGGAGGTAGCAGTCCTGCTGCTGGGTTGTTGCCCTCCTACGGCCTCCTCCACATCTCCTGATGTACTGGCCTGTCTCCTGGTAGCGCCTCCATGCTCTGGACACTACGCTGACAGACACAGCAAACCTTCTTGCCACAGCTCGCATTGATGTGCCATCCTTTATGAGCTGCACTACCTGAGCCAGTTGTGTGGGTTGTAGACACCGTCTCATGCTACCACTAGAGTGAAAGCACCGCCAGCATTCAAAAGTGACCAAAACATCAGCCAGGAAGCATAGGAATTGAGAAGTGGTCTATTGTCACCACCTGCAAAACCAGTCCTTTATTGGGGGTGTCTTGCTAATTGCCTATAATTTCCACCTGTTGTCTATTCCATTTGCACAACAGCATGTGAAATGTATTGTCAATCAGTGTTGCTTCCTAAGTGGACAGTTTGATTTCACAGAAGTGTGATTGACTTGGAGTTACATTGTGTTGTTTAAGTGTTCCCTTTATTTTTTTGAGCAGTGTGTGTATATATATATATATATATATATATATATACATACAGTGGGGAAAAAAAGTATTTAGTCAGCCACCAATTGTGCAAGTTCTCCCACTTAAAAAGATGAGAGAGGCCTGTAATTTTCATCATAGGTACACGTCAACTATGACAGACAAAATGAGGGAAAAAAATCCAGAAAATCACATTGTAGGATTTTTAATGAATTTATTTGCAAATTATGGTGGAAAATAAGTATTTGGTCAATAACAAAAGTTTCTCAATACTTTGTTATATACCCTTTGTTGGCAATGACACAGGTCAAACATTTTCTGTAAGTCTTCACAAGGTTTTCACACACTGTTGCTGGCATTTTGGCCCATTCCTCCATGCAGATCTCCTCTAGAGCAGTGATGTTTTGGGGCTGTCGCTGGGCAACACGGACTTTCAACTCCCTCCAAAGATTTTCTATGGGGTTGAGATCTAGAGACTGGCTAGGCCACTCCAGGACCTTGAAATGCTTTTTACGAAGCCACTCCTTCGTTGCCCGGGCGGTGTGTTTGGGATCATTGTCATGCTGAAAGACCCAGCCACGTTTCATCTTCAATGCCCTTGCTGATGGAAGGAGGTTTTCACTCAAAATCTCACGATACATGGCCCCATTCATTCTTTCCTTTACACGGATCAGTCGTCCTGGTCCCTTTGCAGAAAAACAGCCCCAAAGCATGATGTTTCCACCCTCATGCTTCACAGTAGGTATGGTGTTCTTTGGATGCAACTCAGCATTCTTTGTCCTCCAAACACTACGAGTTGAGTTTTTACCAAAAAGTTCTATTTTGGTTTCATCTGATCATATGACATTCTCCCAATCCTCTTCTGGATCATCCAAATGCACTCTAGCAAACTTCAGACGGGCCTGGACATATACTGGCTTAAGCAGGGGGACACGTCTGGCACTGCAGGATTTGAGTCCCTGGCGGCGTAGTGTGTTACTGATGGTAGGCTTTGTTACTTTGGTCCCAGCTCTCTGCAGGTCATTCACTAGGTCCCCCCGTGTGGTTCTGGGATTTTTGCTCACCGTTCTTGTGATCATTTTGACCCCACAGGGTGAGATCTTGCGTGGAGCCCCAGATCGAGGGAGATTATCAGTGGTCTTGTATGTCTTCCATTTCCTAATAATTGCTCCCACAGTTGATTTCTTCAAACCAAGCTGCTTACCTATTGCAGATTCAGTCTTCCCAGCCTGGTGCAGGTCTACAATTTTGTTTCTGGTGTCCTTTGACAGCTCTTTGGTCTTGGCCATAGTGGAGTTTGGAGTGTGACTGTTTGAGGTTGTGGACAGGTGTCTTTTATACTGATAACAAGTTCAAACAGGTGCCATTAATACAGGTAACGAGTGGAGGACAGAGGAGCCTCTTAAAGAAGAAGTTACAGGTCTTTGAGAGCCAGAAATCTTGCTTGTTTGTAGGTGACCAAATACTTATTTTCCACCATAATTTGCAAATAAATTCATAAAAAATCCTACAATGTGATTTTCTGGATTTTTATTTCTCAATTTGTCTGTCACAGTTGACGTGTACCTATGATGAAAATTACAGGCCTCTCTCATCTTTTTAAGTGAGAGAACTTGCACAATTGGTGGCTGACTAAATACTTTTTTCCCCCACTGTATATATATTGTAAAGTGGTTGTCCCACTGGCTATCATAAGGTGAATGCACCAATTTGTAAGTCGCTCTGGATAAGAGCGTCTGCTAAATGACGTAAATGTAAATGTAATGTTAGGCTGTTTGGAGTGTTTATCTGACTGGATAATATATATATATGTGTCCCCCCCACTTCTAAAACCAAAGGTGCGCCCCTGATAGCTACTATACTATGCTCTCACATTACCAAGTTTTCGATGTTTGCCTACTGAAGTACTGTAGCTAAAGATGGTTTAGGATGAAGAGTATGAAGTATGAATATAGGCTACAGCAGAGTTTCTAAACTATGTTTTGTTAGGTTTAGTCATAGAGTCGTGGTCCTCTGTAGCTCAGCTGGTAGAGCATGGCGCTTGTAACGCCAGGGTAGTGGGTTCGATCCCCGGGACCACCCATACGTAAAAATTTATGCACGCATGACTGTAAGTCGCTTTGGATAAAAGCGTCTGCTAAATGGCATATTATTATTATTATTATTATTATATTACAATACTATTAATACTGTTATAATATTACAGTACTATTAATACTGTTATAATAGTACAATACTATTAATACTGTTATAATATTACAGTACTATTAATACTGTTATAATATTACAGTACTATTAATACTGTTATGATATTACAATACTATTAATACTGTTATAATAGTACAATACTATTAATACTGTTATAATATTACAGTACTATTAATACTGTTATAATATTACAGTACTATTAATACTGTTATAATAGTACAATACTATTAATACTGTTATAATATTACAGTACTATTAATACTGTTATAATATTACAGTACTATTAATACTGTTATATATTACAGTACTATAATACTGTTATATATTACAGTACTATTAATACTGTTATAATATACAGTACTATTAATACTGTTATAATATTACAGTACTGTTATAATACTACAGCATTATATGTATTATTACAGTACTATTAACTGTTTATATATTACAGTACTATTAATCTGTTTATATTTACTATAATACGTGTAACAGCTGTTATACAGTGGAAGTGTACAGTGCTACAGTATATTATTATTTGTGTGTTTATTATCATTAAACTGGACCGGTGGGCACTAGCCTCTAGTCCTCATCCCTGGACCGGTGGGCACTAGCCTCTAGTCTCATCCCTGGACCGGTGGCACCTAGCCTCTAGTCCTCATCCCTGGACCGGTGGGCCTAGCCTCGTATCCTCATCCCTGGACCGGTGGGCACTAGCCTCTAGTCCTCATCCCTGGACCGGTGGGCACTAGCCTCTAGTCCTCATCCCTGGACCGGTGGGCACTAGCCTCTAGTCCTCATCCCTGGACCGGTGGGCACTAGCCTCTAGTCCTCATCCCTGGACCGGTGGGCACTAGCCTCTAGTCCTCATCCCTGGACCGGTGGGCACTAGCCTCTAGTCCTCATCCCAGTGTATCTGTGTGTGATGTTATAGATGGTCTGCTGATACCTTGGACGACTATCTGTAGTAAAATAATCACACAGGTCCCGTGTGGCTCAGTTGCTAGAGCATGGCGTTTGTACGCCAGGGTTGTGGGTTCAATTCCCACAGGGGACCAGTATGAAAAAGGATGCACTCACTACTGTAAATTGCTCTGGATAAGAGCATAGTCAATTACTAAACAGTAAAACATTTCAACTTAATCATCATTATTAGGTTTTCTGTCTCCATGATACACGAGCTGAATGTTTTCTCTCTTCATTCACAACTCCTGTCTGGTCAATTTGAGAGGATCTGTAGAGGAAATAAACATCACAGTGGTGTTCAATAATAGTGACGTCTTCACTACAAATACTGCCGTTTCAGACATGAAATATACAAAACGTGACCAGGCAAACAAAATAGTTTTTTTACTCTGGTTTCCATATTACACTGATGAGTCAATAGCGACACCGTGTGGACAAATGAAGTACAACGACATAAACACATCCAGGCTTTATAATCAATCGTCGAGTCACCGGTTGGTTTAACAGGACTGGGATCGAGTCGTCATGCCTTTGTCGTCTCCACGCTGTTTCAATGGACGCATTCGACTTGTTTCGGAAGCTCGGAGCCGGAGCTAAATTTGATTTCAAAAGGTTTGGAAAAGATGCCGAACGATTTAAGGTAATGGGGATGTTTGTCCGATGTTTCTCTATTCGTGTTCAGCGAGTATTATTTGAAAGCTGCGAAGAGTTGACCGTATAGCCGGTTAGTTAGTTAGCTAGCTAATGGCTAGTTAGCTAGCTTGTGGATGGTGTTTGGATGCGCATGTATTTCTCGAACTTCTCGCTAGCTAGTTTATAATGAATATATCTCAAGCTCATTGTTCAGTTTATTCTCATAAATGGAAGACCCAGATGAAATTATCTATACAATGTATTATTTCCCTGCGGTCTAAAGCACCAAGGTAACGTTCGGCTAGCTAGCTAACATTACTGTAAAGGTTTGTAGTGAGATGTATCGGGACATAAATCACATTAGGATTTAGCAGGTCTGAGGTATTGATAGTAGTTGTCTTCATAGTGTACTCTTGACGTTAACAATAGTTTTATTTATGGTACGTGTGTGTTCCAGGTGGTGAGGTCCCAAGAGAAAGATGTATCTGACCTCTATGCGATCGACTTCTTCGGAACCGGGGTAACCCACGGCAACCAGGAGAAGAGAGGAGCAGAGGAAGAAGAAGGAGAGGAAGAAGGAGAGGTAGATGCTGTTGCAGGGAAAAGGAAACGAGAGGATGAGGTGAAGACTGCAAAGAAGAAAAATAAAGATGGTCAGGCTGAAACTGAAGGTAGGATCTGGCGGCGTGTGTGTTCTCTCTCTCTGTGTGTTCTACAGTGCAGTGAAAAAGTAATTGAAAACCATTTTTTTTGGTTATTTGTAAACCCGGGTTCCCTTTATCTAATATTAGGTTTTGGTTGAAGATCTGGTAACATAGTATCAAAAATATGCACAAGTAGTGTCATGTGGTCACAGCATACTTGCGGGTATTCACCCCCACTTGGCATTTTTCCTATTTTGTTGCTTTACAACCTGCAATTAAACTGGATTTTTGGGATGTTTGTATCATTTGATTTACACAACATGCCTACCACTTTGAAGATGCAAAATATTTGTTATTGTGAAACAAACAAGAAATAAGACAAAAAAACAGAACTTGAGCGTGCATAACTATTCACCCCCCCAAAGTCAATACTTTATAGAGCCACCTTTTGTAGCAATTACAGCTGCAAGTCTCTTGGGGTATGTCTCTATAAGCTTGGCACATCTAGCCACTGGGATTTTTGCCCATTCTTCAAGGCAAAACTGCTCCAGCTCCTTCAAGTTGGATGGGTTCCGCTGGTGTACAGCAATCTTTAAGTCATACCACAGATTCTCAATTGGATTGAGGTCTGGGCTTTGACTAGGCCATTCCAAGACATTTAAAAGTGTCCCCTTAAACCACTCGAGTGTTGCTTTAGCAGTATGCTTAGGGTCATTGTCCTGCTGGAAGGTGAACCTCCGTCCCAGTCTCAAATCTCTGGAAGACTGAAACAGGTTTCCCTCAAGAATTTCCCTGTATTTAGCGCCATCCATCATTCCTTCAATTCTGCCCAGTTTCCCAGTCCCTGCCGATGGAAAAACATCCCCACAGCATGATGCTGCCACCACCATGCTTCATTGTGGGGATGGTGTTCTCGGGGGAGATGAGAGGTATTGGGTTTGCGCCAGACATAGCGTTTTCCTTGATGGACAAAAAGCTCAATTTTAGTCTAATCTGACCAGAGTACCTTCTTCCATATGTTTGGGGAGTCTCCAACATGCCTTTTGGCGAACACCAAACTTGTTTACTTATTTTTTTCTTTAAGCAATGGCTTTTTTCTGCCCACTCTTCCGTAAAGCCCAACTCTGTGGAGTGTACGGCTTAAAGTGGTCCTATGGACAGATACTCCAATCTCCGCTGTGAAGCTTTGCAGCTCCTTCAGGGTTATTTTTTGTCTCTTTGTTGCCTCTGATTAATGCCCTCCTTGCCTGGTCTGTGAGTTTTGGTGGGTGGCCCTCTCTTGGCAGGTTTGTTGTGGTGCCATATTCTTTCCATTTTCTGATAATGGATTTAATGGTGGTCCGTGGGATGTTCAAAGTTTCTGATATTTTTTTATAACCCATCCCTGATCTGTACTTCTCCACAACTTTGTCCCTGACCTGTTTGGAGAGCTCCTTGGTCTTCATGGTGTCGCTTGCTTGGTGGTGCCCCTTGCTTAGTGGTGTTGCAGACTCTGGGGCCTTTCAGAACAGGTGTATATTATGTGACAGATCATGTGACACTTAGATTGCACACAGGTGGACTTTATTTAACTAATTATGTGACTTCTGAAGGTAATTGGTTGCACCAGATTTTATTTAGGGGCTTCATAGCAAAGGGGGTGAATACATATGCACTCACCACTTTTCCGTTATTTTTTTGTAAACATTTTTTCATTTCACTTCACCAATTTAGACTATTTTGTGTATGTCCATTACATGCAACAAAATAGCAAAAACGCCAAGGGGGATGAATACTTTTGCAAGGCACTGTATATATGTGTTCTGTGTGTCTATTGTGTCATGTGGTCTCCAACTGTAGCAGCTTATATGTATTTTAAATGATCATTCAGCGTTCTGATGGTCCCTGTCGTTTGTTGTAGTGGTGTGTGGTGGCCAGCAGGGGGAGACCGAGGGCATCCTGTGGACTTCCTCTGCAGACAGGAAGTCTAAAGGTTTGAAGGTGGGGAGGGACGGAGACAAGACATCAATGAAGAGACTCCAACACCTCCACCAAGAGAAGGTACACACAGACACACACACACACAGACACACACACACACAGACACACACACAGACACACACACACACAGACACACACACACACACAGAGACACACACACACACACAGACACACACACACACACACAGACACAGAGACACACACACACAGACACACAGACACAGACACACACACACACACACACACACACACACAGACACACACACAGACACACAGCTCTTCTCTCTGTCCATCTGTTGGATCTCATCTCTCTGTGTGTGTTGTCAGGTGAACCGTGTCCGTGCGCAGCATCGTATCAACGTGCACGGCTGTGACGTGCCCGACCCAGTGTGCACGTTTTCCGAGCTGCAGTCCGAGTACGACCTGAACCCACGCGTCCTCCAGAACCTGTCCGCAGCTGGACTCACCACTCCCACGCCCATTCAGATGCAGGCTATACCCCTGATGATGCATGTGAGTACGCAGAGAGGGATGACTATGAATATGTGTATATATATATATATATATATATGGAATGGAAAAAAACTAAATCATTATCTTTGTATGTATCTATCTGTCCCTGTCTCTCTCTCTCTGTCTCTGTCTCTCTCCCAGGGTCGTGAGTTGTTGGCGTGCGCTCCGACAGGTTCGGGGAAGACTCTAGCGTTCTGTCTCCCTCTCCTGACACACCTGAAACAGCCTGCTAACCTCGGCTTCAGAGCTCTAGTCATCTCACCCACCAGGGAACTGGCCAGCCAGGTAAACACACCTGGCCCAGGCCTCGACTGGCCAGCCAGGTAAACACACATGGCCCAGGCCTCGACTGGCCAGCCAGGTAAACACACATGGCCCAGGCCTCGACTGGCCAGCCAGGTAAACACACATATAAAACCGCACATGGGCCAGGCCTCGAATTTCCCGGCGGCGTCGACGGCCATGCCCCCCTTGTGTGGCCGTAATGCCCCCTAAACAAATCCAAAGTGGCCGTTGTGCCCTTGGGCTGAGTGTACAGTGCATTCGGAAAGTATTCAGACCCCTTGACTTTTTCAACATTTTGTTACGTTACAGCCTTATTCTAAAATGGATTAGTCTCATAGCAAAGTTTTTTTGTGGTTTTGTAATGAATTTGCCAACATTTCTAAAAACCTGTTTTCGCTTTGTCATTATGGGTTATTGTGTGTAGATTGATGAGGAAAATGTTTTATTTAATCCATTTTAAAATAAGGTTGTAACGTAACAAAATGTGGAAAAAGTCAAGGGGTCCGAATGCATATAATGTATATATCGTTGAAATTGTTGTTTATTCTCTCTCATATATATATATATATATATATATACACTACCGTTCAAAAGTTTGGGGTCACTTAGAAATATCCTTGTTTTCGGAAGAAAAGCAATTTTTTTATCCATTAAAATAACGTAAAATTGATCAGAAATACAGTGTAGACATTGTTAATGTTGTAAATGGCTATTGTAGCTGGAAACGGCTGATTTTTAATGGAATATCTACATAGGCGTACAGAGGCCCATTATCAGCAACCATCAGTCCTGTGTTCCAATGGCACGTTGTGTTTGCTAATCCAAGTTTATCATTTTAAAAGGCTAATTGATCATTAGAAAACCCTTTTGCAATTATGTTAGCACAGCTGAAAACTGTTGTGCTGATTAAAGAAGCAATAAAACTGGCCTTCTTGAGACTAGTTGAGTATCTGGAGCATCAGCAATTGTGGGTTTGATTACAGGCTCAAAATGGCCAGAAACAAAGAACTTTCTTCTGAAACTCGTCAGTCTATTCTTGTTCTGAGAAATGAAGGCTATTCCATGCGAGAAATTGCCAAGAAACTGAAGATCTCGTACAACGCTGTGTACTACTCCCTTCACAGAACAGCGCAAACTGTCTCTAACCAGAATAGAAAGAGGAGTGGGAGGCCCCGGTGCAAAACTGAGCAAGAGGACAAATACATTAGAGTGTCTAGTTTGAGAAACAGACGCCTCACAGGTCCCAAACTGGCAGCTTCATTAAATAGTACCCGCAAAACACCAGTCTCAACGTCAACAGTGAAGAGGCGACTCCGGGATGCTGACCTTCTAGGCAGAGTTGCAAAGAAAAAGCCATATCTCAGACTGGCCAATAGAAATTAAATATTTAGATGGGAAAAAGAACACAGACACTGGACAGAGGAAGATTGGAGAAAAGTGTTATGGACAGACAAATCGAAGTTTGAGGTGTTCGGATCACAAAGAAGAACATTTGTGAGACGCAGACCAAATGAAAAGATGCTGGAGGAGTGCTTGATGCTTTAACTACCTATATGTACATATCTACCTCAATTACCTGGTACTCCCTGTATATAACCAAGTTATTACCTGGTACCCCTGCACATGGACTCAGTACTGGTACCAAGTTGTCGTAACTCCTAGTGTTATTATTTGTATATTATTTCTCTCTGTATTGGTGGGAGGGGCCTGTAGGTCAGCATTTCACTGTTTAGTCTACACCTGGTGGGAAGGGCCTGTAGGTCAGCATTTCACTGGTAGTCTACACCTGGTGGGAAGGGCCTGTAGGTCAGCATTTCACTGGTAGTCTACACCTGTTGGGAAGGGCCTGTAGGTCAGCATTTCACTGGTAGTCTACACCTGGTGGGAAGGGCCTGTAGGTCAGCATTTCACTGGTAGTCTACACCTGGTGGGAAGGGCCTGTAGGTCAGCATTTCACTGTTTAGTCTACACCTGTTGTTGTTTTACCGATGTATTGTTGTGCTTTGATGTTTTATTATGTAACGTTACTGTTGCGTGTGTTGTGTAGACCCACAGGGAGTTGGTGCGTCTGTCGGAGGGCGTCGGGTTCAGAGTTCACATACTAGACAAGGCATCCATGGCAGCCAAGAAGTACGGTCCCAGCTCTAACAAGAAATACGGTACGGTCCCAGCTCTAACAAGAAATACGGTACAAAGGCAATATTCAAATGATCTGTAAATGGGACCGAGACCAGCACAACATCCCTCACTCCATAATATTGTATTTTTATTTTTGTCCTACTCCACTTGTTTCTCTCTCTCCCCCTCCCTCTCTCTTGCTCCTCTCTCTCTCTCTCGCTCCTCTCTCTCTCTCTCGCTCCTCTCTCTCGCTCCCCCCTCTCTCTCTCTCTCTCTCTCTCGCTCCTCCCTCTCTCTCTGTCTCGCTCCCCCCTCTCTCTCTGTCTCGCTCCCCCCTCTCTCTCTCTCTCGCTCCCCCCTCTCTCTCTCTCTCTCTCTCTCTCCTAGATATTCTGGTCAGTACCCCTAATAGACTGGTGTTCCTCCTGAAGCAGGATGCTCTAGACCTCAGCAGGTCAGCTCGCTCTGTGTGTGTGTTGGGTCTGATATGTTTGTTCAGGGCTGTTAATAGGGGGTGTGTTAATACTGTGTGTGTGTGTGGACGTGTTTAACTATACTTGTGGGGACCAGAAGTCCCCACAAGAATAGTAAACGGAACAAAAATTTGACCAACTGGGGACATTTTGTTAGTCCCCACAAGGTCAAATGCTATTTCTAGGGGGTTTAGGGTTAAGGTTAGTTTTAGGGTTAGGGAAAATAGGATTTTGAATGGGACAGAATTGCAGGTCCCCACAAGGTTAGTTAGGGCTGGGTGATATAAATATAATATCACACTATTTTAACATTTTTGACGGTATTTTATGTTTTGAATAATAAAAGTTGTAAATGTGCTTTATGAGTAGAGCTTGACCCCAGGGTGGCAACACATACATTCTAACTGAGTTCCAAAAATGGGTCTTTCTCCATTCCGATGGTTTTATATTGTTCAATTCAACCAAATGTATTTTCATAAATTTCTGCATTTCCTGCAATCATTTGAGATAATTTCCCCACTGCCACGTAGCACCGGCTGCACAATATGGACGAACAAACCAGGCCTTATTTTTAACCAAATGTTGCAGTTGCGATTTGACTTGCGATTCAGAGCAAAACACTTGGGTGAACTGTTGGAATAAAGGAAATATAATGATTATTCTAAATCTATAGTTTGAATATAATAGTGGGCACTTTGAATACAGTGTTGACATGACAACGAATGAAAACGCCAGGAGGAGTTATCGTGACAGGGTAGGAACCAAAGTGATGGTCAGTGTTTCCTAGGGGACCCTATATTCTTTGGTTACATTAAATGTTTCTTCATGTAGCTAAAATATTCATGCTTCACGTATTCATCTTTGGTTTATAAGAAACTGTTGCACAAACATGCTGTATTAGCTAGCTACGTTTACTCTGACTCAATACATTTATTAGCTAGCTCGCTAGCATTAGCGGCTAACACGGTTTAGCTTAAACTTGCTAAGAAAAGACACACTAGCAGTTTGCAGATGTAAGAACCACAAACTAATAGTGTAATTATAGAACGCTAGTGGATTTATATTAAGAAACAACATTGTCATTAACAGTGTTGCATGTGCTGTGTAGAGCCCCACAGTCGCGGTGTCATAATACCCATAAAACCTAGCGGTCAAACAGGGAAATGGTTCCATTTCATTTTTCCCATGAGGGATTTTAAGAAACACTTAAAATAAGGGCTGTGTTTCGTGTAGGCTTACCCTGGCGTGACGTTTTGATAACCATGTAAATCTCTCTATGACAAGGTGACTTTTATCAATATATTCGACTCTATTTACTCTGATTCAAAAATGCTAATTAGCATCAAAGTAGACATCACGCAAAACTACAAATCCCTGCAAGCTCCTGCACGTCATCTCTAGCTGACACCTTTGCTAACAGGGATTGTGTCAATTTTAAAACCTGCACAAGACTGTTTACAGAATTGTCCATTTAAAGAAATGTAGCCAATTTATTCATTACTACATTTAGTTAACATTAGCTAGTTAATCCAGAGATTCTTACCTTTGCCTCGATTCAGCAGTCTCGTCCAGATCATCATTGCATTTGTAGTTCTTTATGATAGCCACATTAGCAGCTAATTAGCATTTATTTTTTGGTGGGTAAATACAGGCGAATATATTGATAAGTCACCTTGTCCTAGAGAAATGTACACGGTTATCAAAACGTCACACCAGGGTAAGCCTACATGAAACACAGCCCTTATTGTAAGTGTTTCTAAAATCACCTATGGGAAAAATGAAATGGTGGAGAAAAAAATGGAACCATTTCCCTGTTTTGACCGCTAGGTTTTATGGGTATTATGACTCATACTGTGGTACTCTATTGACCATGCAGACTGAACGCAAGTGTCTCTGGTCAAGCAACAACAAATGCGCTCCTTGAGTGACAGGGGGCGGGGCTATGTCTGTGGAAAGCGGCATGGAGAGACTATAGAAATGGACGTTACACACGGTGTATCACATTTAACAAACCAAACATTCAAATACCGTTACAGAAGGTACAGTAAAAACCCAAACCGGTCCGTGTTTCAATACCGGTACATAGTAACATATGGAAGACCGCCCAGCCTCGCTACAGCCAATCAGACACATTATTACAGCCTGCTACGGCCAATCAGCCACATTATTACAGCCTGCTACGGCCAATCAGCCACATTATTACAGCCTGCTACAGCCAATCAGCCACATTATTACAGCCTTCTATATCACCCAGCCTTAAGGTTAGTTATACAAGACTGTGTGTTGTTACTGTGTTGTGTTGGATCTGATATGTTGGTTGAGGCCTGTCGTAGCAGGTGTTGTGTGTTAATACGGTCTGTGTGTGTGTGTGTGTGTGTGTGTGTGTGTGTGTGTGTGTGTGTGTGTGTTGTGTCTGTGTCTGTGTGTCTGTGTCTGTGTCTGTGTCTGTGTCTGTGTCTGTGTCTGTGTCTGTGTCTGTGTCTGTGTCTGTGTCTGTGTCTGTGTCTGTGTGTCTGTGTGTGTCTGTGTGTGTGTGTGTGTGTGTGTGTGTGTGTGTGTGTCTGCGCGCGCAGTGTGGAATGGTTGGTGGTGGATGAGAGCGATAAGCTCTTTGAGGATGGCCGTAGTGGTTTCCGAGACCAGCTGGCGGCGGTATTCCAGGCTTGCTCCTCCCCCCGGGTGAGACGTGCGTTCTACAGCGCTACCTGTGCACCAGACGTGGAACAGTGGTGTCGCCTCAACCTCGACAACCTGGTCTCTGTCAACATTGGACACAGGTACTCTACTACCCACAGTCCCCTGTTCTACTATACTAACCCACAGTCCCCTGTTCTACTACACTACCATAACCACCCTCTATAACTAAACTACCCATAACCGCCCTCTCTAGTACACTCCCCATAACCCGCCCCGTCTAGTACACTACACTACCCATAACGCCCTCTCTATACACTACCCATAAACCAACACCTCTCTATTACACTAAACTAACCCATAACCGCCCTCCTCTATTACACATACCTACCCATACTCCCCCACCCTCTTCTATTACACTACACTACCCCTAACCAAACCGCCCTCTTCTATACACTACACTACCCATAACCACCCTCTCTATTACACTAACACTACCCATACCCTAACCACCTAACTCCCTCTCTATTACACTGACACTACCCATACCACCCTCTCTATTACACTACCCATAACCGCCCTCTCTATTACACTACACTACCCATAACCACCCTCTCTATTACACTACCCATAACCGCCCTCTCTATACACTACACTACCCATAACCACCCTCTCTATTACACTACACTACCCATAACCACCCTCTTTATTACACTACACTACCCATAACCGCCCTCTCTATTACTCTACCCATAACCGCCCTCTCTGTTACACTACACTACCCATAACCGCCCTCTCTATTACACTACACTACCCATAACCACCCTCTCTATTACACACACTACCCATAACCACCCTCTCTGTTACACTACACTACCCATAACCACCCTCTCTATACACTACACTACCCATACACCGCCCTCTACTACTTACACTACCCATAACCGCCCTCTCTACTACACTACACTCCCCATACCCGCCCTCTCTATTACACTACACTACCCATAACCACCCTCTCTACTACACTACACTACCCATAACCGCCCTCTCTATTACACTACACTACCCATAACCACCCTCTCTATTACACTACACTACCCATAACCGCCCTCTCTATTACACTACACTACCCATAACCGCCCCTCTCTATCTTAACACACACTACCCCATAACCCCCTCTCTATTACACTCCCCATAACCACCCTCTCTGTTACACTACACTACCCATAACCGCCCTCTCTATTACACTACACTACCCATAACCGCCCTCTCTATTACACTACCCCATAACCACCCTCTCTGTTACACTACACTACCCATAACCGCCCTCTCTATCTACACTACACTACCCATAACCGCCCTCTCTATTACACTACACTACCCATAACCGCCCTCTCTATTACACTACACTACCATAACCACCCTCTCTATTACACTACACTACCCATAACCACCCTCTCTATTACACTACACTACCCATAACCGCCCTCTCTATTACACTACACTACCCATAACCACCCTCTCTATTACACTACACTACCCATAACCACCCTCTCTATACACTACACTACCCATAACCACCCTCTCTATTACACTACACTACCCATAACCGACCCTCTGTAACTACACTACCCATAACCACCCTCTCTTTACAACTACCCATAACCCCCTCTCATTACCTACACACCCTACCAACTCTCTCGATTACACTACAACTACCATAACCACCCTCTCTATTACACTACACTACCCATAACCACCCTCTCTATTACACTACACTACCCATAACCCCCTCTCTATTACACTACACTACCCATAACCGCCCTCTCTATTACACTACACTACCCATAACCACCCTCTCTATTACACTACCCATAACCACCCTCTCTATTACACTACACTACCATAACCACCTCTCTTTACACTACACTACCCATAACCGCCCTCATCTATTACACTACCCATAACCCCCTCTATTACACTACACATACCCATAACCGCCCTCTCTATTACACTACACTACCCATAACCGCCCTCTTATACTACACTACCCTAACCACCCTCCTTTACATACCCATAACCCCCTCTCTTTACCACTACACTACCCATAACCGCCCTCTCTATTACACTACACTACCCATAACCGCCCTCTCTATTCACTACCCATAACCACTCTACTACTCTTACCCAACCACCCTCTGTTACACTACACCATAACCACCCCTCTCTGTTACACCTACACTACCCATCAACCGCCCTCTCTTTACACTAACACTACCCATAACCGCCCTCTTATACACTACATACCCATCACCGCCCTCCTCTATTACACTACACTACCATAACCACCCTCCTCTAGTTACACACACTACCCATAACCACCCTCTCTATTACACTACACTACCCATAACCCCCTCTCTATTACATACACTACCCTAACCACCCTCTCTATTACACTAACCCATAAACCACCCTCTCTATTACACTACACTACCCATAACCACCCTCTCTATTACACTACACTACCCATAACACCCTCTATACTCTACCTACCACCCCTCATACACTACCCATAACCACCCTCTCTATTACACTACACTACCCATAACCACCCTCTCTATTCACTCACTACCCATAACCGCCCTCTCTATTACACTACCCATAACCACCCTCTCTATTACACTACCCATAACCACCCTCTCTATTACACTACACTACCCATAACCACCCTCTCTATTACACTACCCATAACCGCCCTCTCTATTACACTACACTACCCATAACCACCCTCTCTATTACACTACACCCATAACCACCCTCTCTATTACACTACACTACCCATAACCACCCTCTCTATTACACTACCACCAACCGCCTCTCTATTACACACACTACCCATAACCGCCCCTCTATTAACACTACACCATAACCACCCTCTCTATTAACACAACACTACCCCATAAAACAACACTCTCGTTACACTACAACTACCCATAACCGCCCTACTCTATTACATACCCATAACCCCCTCTAAACACCCGACCACCTCTCTATTACATACACTACCCATAACCACCCGACTATACACGAACACTACCCATAACCACCCTCTCTATTAACACCTAACACACCTAACTACAAACCACCCTCTCTATTAACACACTACCCATAACCACCCTCTTATTGACACACACACCCATAACCCACCCTCTCGATATACACTACACTACCCATAAACCACCCTCTCTATTACACTACAACTAACCCCCTCTATACAACAACAACCACCCTCTCTATTCACTAACTACCCATAACCACCCTCTCTATTACACTAACACTACCACATAAACCACCCTCTCTATACACTAACCCATAACCAACCCTCATACTACCTACAATAACACCCTCTTTACACTACCCTAACCCCAAACCACCCCTCTCTATTACACTACCCCATAACCCCCTCTCTATTACACTAACACTACCATAACCACCCTCTCTATTACACTACACACCCATAACCACCCTTCTATTACACACTACCCATAACCACCCCTCTATTACACTACACTACCCATAACCGCCCTCTCTATTACACTACCCATAACCCCCTCTCTATTACTACCTACCCATAACCCCTCTCTTTAACTACACTACCCATAACCAGCCTCTCTATTACCACTACCCATAACCGCCCTCTCTATTACACTACACTACCCATACCCCCTATCTATTACACACACTACCCATAAACCGCCCTCTCATTACACTACAACCCATAACCGCCCTCTCTATTACACTACTACCATAACCGCCCTCTCTATACACTACCTAACCCAACCACCCTCTCTGATTACCTACTACCATAACCACCTCTGATTACATAACACCTAACCGCCCTCTCTATTACACTACCATACCCATAACCGCCCTCTCTATTACACTCACCCATAACCACCCTCTCTAGTACTACACTACCCATAACCGCCCTCTCTATTCATACACTACCATAACCGCCCCTCTCTAACTACACTACCCATAAACCGCCCTCTCTATTACACTACCCATAACCACCCCTCTTTACTACTACGTAACCTACCCATACACCCCTCTCTGTCAACTTTCACTACCAAACGTAACCGCCCTCTCTATTACACTACACTACCCTAACCGCCTCTCTATTTACACTACCCAAACCACCTCCTATAATACTCTACAAACCACCCTTCTCTATTCGACTATCACTCCAGAACCGCCCTCCTTCACCCTACCCTATGACCCGGACCCTCTCATTATACCCCAATGACGCTAAGTCTGCCCTTCGGTTCGAACTCTGCATGAACGCCTTTACGGGCCGTAGTTGAGCTCCCCAACCGGAGAGCGGGGGCCAATCCCCATGGGTCCACCCCTTCCCCCGCCTGTTTTGTCCTGTCTGGATTCCCCCTCTCATTATTACCCTCTAATGACTGGTTCAAATGGTGTGTGTGTGTGTGTGTTCGTGTTCTCAGGAACTCTGCAGTTGAGACGGTAGAACAGGAGCTGCTGTTTGTTGGAACAGAGAACGGGAAGTTATTGGCCGTGAGGGACATAATCAAGAAGGTACGCACACACATCCTGTGCACAAACGTTACACTCCAAATACAGGCACATCCCGTGCACAAACGTTACACTCCAAATACAGGCACATCCCGTGCACAAACGTTACACTCCAAATACAGGGTGAAAGTTTGTCAGATGTTTTCAGACCTCAAGGTGGTCATCTGTTGAGACCTGAAGAGGTAGAAAGAGGACTCCTCTTCGTGTCTGTGTCGTAATGGCTGCTGTGACACCATGGGCAGCGCCGTCGAGAGCTTTCTCCCTTTTTTAAATAAGTAATTTTCTTCTATTTCTAGGAGTCGGTAAACAAACTGAAAGGGCGCACACTGCCCCCTGAAGGGGTTGGATTTTCATCCTCTGGTTATTATGTGCCAATACGAAAAGACATACGATGTAGTGGTGATACTAGGTGATACATACTGTAATAAGACTGCTCTTAGTCATTTACAAGCAATTTAATTAAAACAAAAGTAAATATTGGGTGACGTACAGCGTAGCGACAGATCATCAAAAAAGTTATGAAGCGGTTCAGTCTCTATTAGATCGTGTATCCAGTATGTGGGAGTGTAGTGATACGGAGGTAGTAAACAATGCAGGGGATGTATTGGTAGGGAAGTCGTAATTCAGCACCAGAATGGGTTCAGTCTCTATTAGACTGTGTAGCCAGTATCGGCTGCCATATTTTGTAGAATATTGGAGCACATTTTTTCCGTATGCAATACATTCCGTAAATCCCATAACCACATTTCAAAGGTAGGTACAGTTTCCAATTTCCAAAATTGTAATGAATGGAGTGTGTTTAAACAGCCAACTATGGGGCAAAACAGACTGGGTTGGCTTAGACCAGGGGTATTTAACCGGGGGTCTGCGAAAATACACTGAAGAAAAATATTAACTCTACAGTGAGGGAAAAAAGTATTTGATCCCCTGCTGATTTTGTACGTCCCTGGGCAAGAAAAGGTTGAAGACCCCTGGCTTAGACATGACAACATGTAAACAATATTTCCTCTACAAATGTTTATTGAAAACATAAATGAATTTGCACAATGATCGCTTGTTATCTCTCAAACACGTTGTTACAGCTGTTGTTTAGCTAGCTAGCGAATTTTAGCAGAGACATGACATCATTCAAAACAAGACATGGTGTCAAGAACAAGATAAAACGAGCTGAAACGAGCCACCTACGATTCCTCACAAGGTAGTTTCTTGTCATTGTTGCTATCTGACCATTCAGAATCATAACCCACACCTTCTGGCCACATCGATGCACGCGCATAATTTTGGTGACGTTGTCACCTCCTGATGACCAGGATGGAATCATGTGACCCACCCTGTTGACTCCCGGTACTTCAAAATGGTTTAAGCCCTCTACGGCACTGTCTACGTTAAAACAGGTTCTATCCATGTAGAGTCCTCTACGGCACTGTCTACGTTAAAACAGGTTCTATCCATGTAGAGTCCTCTTTGGCACTGTCTACGTTAAAACAGGTTCTATCCATGTAGAGTCCTCTACGGCACTGTCTACGTTAAAACAGGTTCTATCCATGTAGAGTCCTCTACGGCACTGTCTACGTTAAAACAGGTTCTATCCTCTTTCAAACTCTGGTTAAGATAAAACATTGATCTGGAGCATGGAGTTATCTAGATCAAGATATATGTCACACATCTATATGTACATACCTCAATTACCTCGTACCCCTGCACATGGACTCAGTACTGGTTCCCCGTGTATAAAACCAAGTTATTACCTCGTACCCCTGCACATGGACTCAGTACTGGTACCTCCTGTATATAACCAAGTTATCACCTGGTACCCCTGGACATGGACTCAGTACTGGTACCAAGTTGTCATTACTCCTAGTGTTATTATTTGTATATTATTTCTCTCTGTATTGGTGGGAGGGGCCTGTAGGGAGCATTTTACTGGTGTCTACCCTGGTTACAAAGCTGTGACCAATCCTTTGGTTTTACATACTGAAAGGAAACGCTGAAACCCCTTCCCTTTATTTTCCCCCCAGGGCTTCCCCCCCCATGGTGTTTGTCCAGTCCGAAACCTCTCCCCTTCATGTCCCCCAGGGCTTCCCCGCCCCCCATCTGGGGTTTTTTCCTCCGCGAATCCTTCTCCTTTTGCCCCCCAGGGGGTTTCCCGCCCCCCTGCTGGTGTTTTTCCCCGCGTCCCTCTCCTTCATGTCCCCCCGGGGTTTTTTCCCCCCCTGCTGGTGTTTGTCCAGTCATGCTGAATCCTCTCTCCTTCATGTCCCCCCAGGGGTTCCTGCCCCCCATGCTGGTGTTTGTCCAGTCACGCTGAATCCTCTCTCCTTCATGTCCCCCCAGGGCTTCCTGCCCCCCATGCTGGGGTTTTTTCCATCACTGATCCCTCTCCTTTATGCCCCCCAGGCTTTTCCCGGCCCCCCCTGCGGTGTTTTTCCGTCCCCCTGAATCCCTCTCCTTCTTCCCCCCCGGCTTCCCGCCCCCCCTGCTGGGGTTTGTCCTCACGCTGATCCCCTCCCTTAGTCCCCCCAGGGGGTTCCCGCCCCCCATGCTGGTGTTTGTCCAGTCACGCTGAATCCTCTCTCCTTCATTCCCCCCGGGGGGTTTCCCGCCCCCCTGCTGGTTTGTCCAGTCACGCTGATCCTCTCTCCCTTCATGTCCCCCCCGGGGTTTTTCCCCCCCCCATGCTGGTGTTTGGGGCCTCACGCTATCCTCCTCCTTTATGTCCCCCCCCGGGCTTCCCCCCCCCCATGCTGGGGTTTGTCCACACGCTGAAACCTCTTCCCTTCAAAGTCCCCCAGGGGTTCCTGCCCCCCATGCTGGTTTTTTTTTTTTTCCTCACCGAAACCCCTCCCCCTTCTGTCCCCCCAGGGCTTCCTGCCCCCCATGCTGGTTTGTCCACCGCTAACCTCTCTCCTTCATGTCCCCCCAGGGGTTCCTGCCCCCCATGCTGGTGTTTGTCCAGTCACGCTGAATCCTCTCTCCTTCATGTCCCCCCAGGGGTTCCCGCCCCCCATGCTGGGGTTTTTTCCATCACGCAACCTCTCTCCTTCATGTCCCCCCAGGGCTTCCTGCCCCCCATGCTGGTGTTTGTCCAGTCACGCTGAATCCTCTCTCCTTCATGTCCCCCCCGGGGTTCCTGCCCCCCATGCTGGTGTTTGTCCAGTCACGCGAATCCTCTCTCCTTCAGTCCCCCCGGGGTTTTTTGCCCCCTGCGGGGGGGGTTTTCCTCACGCAATCCTCTCTCCTTCATGTCCCCCCGGGCTTCCCCCCCCCCCATGCTGGGTTTTGTCCATCACGCTGATCCTCCTCCTTTATGTCCCCCCCAGGCTTCCTGCCCCCCATCTGGTGGGTTTTCCAGTCACGCTGAAAACCTCTCTCCTTCTTCCCCCCAGGGCTTCCTCCCCCTTCTGGTTTTTGTCCATCCGTTAAAACCCTCCCTTCTTCCCCCCCGGGCTTCCTGCCCCCCCGCTGGGGTTTTTTTCCAGTCACCTAATCCCTTCCTTCATTCCCCCCAGGGCTTCCTGCCCCATGCTGGTGTTTTTCCCGTCCCTGAAACCTCTCCCTTCAGTCCCCCCCCCAGGGCTTCCCTGCCCCCCATGCTGGTGTTTTTCCAGTCACCTGAATCCCCCCTCTCCTTCTTCCCCCCAGGGGTTCCCCGCCCCCCCTGCTGGGGTTTGTCCAGTCACCCGAATCCTCCCCTTCTGTCCCCCCCCGGGGTTCCTGCCCCCATCGGGGTTTGTCCATCAGCTGAAACCCCTCTCCTTCATTCCCCCCAGGCTTTTTGCCCCCCATGCTGGGGTTTGCCATCACACAATCCCTCTCCTTCATTCCCCCCCCGGGGGTTCCTGCCCCCCCTGCTGGTGTTTTTTCCTCCGCTGAAATCCTCTCTCCTTTATGTCCCCCCGGGGTTCCCCGCCCCCCCCCTGGTGTTTGTCCAGTCACGCTGAATCCTCTCTCCTTCATGTCCCCCCAGGGCTTCCTGCCCCCCTGCGGTGTTTGTCCGTCCGCTGACCCCCCTCTCCTTCATGTCCCCCCAGGGTTCCTGCCCCCCTGCTGGTTTTGGGCCAGTCACGCTGAAACCCTCTCCTTCTGTCCCCCCCCCCCCGGGCTTCCGCCCCCCCCGCTGGTTTTGTCCAGTCACGCTGAATCCCCTCTCCCCATTCCCCCCGGGGTTCCTGCCCCCCATGCGGGGGGGTTTTTTACTATTGACGAGCCAGAGCTCTTCCATGACTGGTCAAGGCATCAAGGACATCATCCCCTCCGCACTCAGCACAGGGCCCAAAAACGCGCACGCACACACCAACCCCCGGCACCACACACACACCGGGACACGGACCACACACCGGGCACACACGACACGGACACACACACCCACGGAACCCCCACGCACGACACACGTCTTCTATAATTTTTTGGGGACCAACAATTATTTTCCCTTCTAAACCCTATTTCCCTAACCCCCCCAAAAACCCCAACCCTAACCCTACCCTAACCCTAAACCCTAAACCCCCAAACCCAACCCCTAACCCTAAACCTCCTAACCCCTAACCCCAACCCCAAACCCCCAACCCCCCACCCCCAAAACCCCCCAGTTTTTTAAAAAACCCAATTCTAGTAAAAATGTGTTACACACACTCTACGTTAGTCATTCAACCCTCCTTTCCCCCGAGGAAACGTACTTCTCCTTTTTCCCCCAAAGGGCAAAGTAAATCTCCTTTTCCCCCCAAAGACAAATTTTTTCATCCTTTTTTTCCCCCAAGAGACAACGTAACTCATCCTTTTCCCCCCAAAAGACACAAACTTCCTTTTTTCCCCCCGGAGACAAATCCATCCTTTTTCCCCCCAAAAGACAACGTACTCTCCTTTTTCCCCCAGAGAGACAACGGACTCTCCTTTCCCCCCCAGAAACAAAGTGACTCTCCTTTTCCCCCCAGGAGACCTGATCATCCTTTTTTTCCCCCAAGGAAAAACGTACTCATCCTTTTTCCCCCCCAAAAGACAAGTGACCT